TCATTCCGTCTTACTGTGTCGCAGTGTTGGTGTAATGTAAGAGTTATTTGTAATGCTTGCAGGTTAATAGATATTCTTTTCGCTTAAGCTACAGGTTCTAACTCTGTGACTTCGTCTCGCGGCGTAAACTCAGCAAGCGCTTAAATTCTGTCTTGCCATGACCTACTTACATGGTGCCCGTAGGCAACTAAGACTAAGGGAAAATAGTAATTGAAATGCAAAATTATTATAAGGCAGCTTAAACCAGCCAATATGTTAACTCCATTCTTTAGATATATCAGTGGATGTAGCTGTTGCATACTCTGTATTTTTTCGGCAGAGTTGCATAATAATTTTTTTTATTAGCAACTTAATATTGCCCTTAATAATATATTTATTAGCAGGTCATTCTGTCGTCATGTCTATCCATGATGGAGGCATTGACCCCGTTTTTCCCAGACTATAGGGCATGGTTTACAATGGCAGAATAAGTTGCGTAGTTATTCGCGGTTGCCTTTTTGTGTTCCGTTAACCACACCTTAAGAGTCATCAATGTCTTACCGATGCATGTAATATTAAAGGAATTTCAGTTTATGCAGGATTAGTACAAAATCCTATTTCGACACCTTCAAACAACACAGCGGTATCCTTCAAGCAACACAACATAAAGACTGCATGTCTGTGATAATTGTGAACTGCATTCTCAGGCAGATTCAGACATGCTGACATTGTCGTGCTACGAGCTCAGTGAGGATCCTTTCTCTAAGGCTGGAAGTCAACCAAGTTTGAGAACATAACAGCATTATCATTCTGCCAGCTCAGTCAACGAGTCGCTTGTTATGATAACTAAAACAACACATGGAAATTATCCTCAGTACCATGCGCGGTGCGCTGTTTAATAAAATTGTGGAATGTGAAAAAAATGTTAAAGTCTTGGAGGCAGAGTTTTTCAGTGCCATTGTATAAAACTAATGGGACATTCTCACTTGTGAAAACTCTGGGAGGGGAGGGGGTTAAACTGTTTAGTCCACTGTGAAGCTATGCGAGAGGATGCTTGACAAAACACTGGGCATTACCGCGAACCAGTTTGGCCATATTCCACGTCAACTACGGACGCCATCTTTGCTTACAGATCAGCCTGTGAAACATACAGAGAAGGTAAACAGGACATTCACATGGTGTTCCTAGAGCTGGAGAAAGCTTTTGACCGAATTCCAAGGCAAGGAATCTCATGGAGCATGAAAAAGAAGCTGCTGCAAGAAAAATATGTGAGGCTTACCAAGGACATGTACGAGAGAGTGACAACGATGGTTGGAAGTACACGTGGCGAAGCAAATTTACTTTTCGGGTAGAAGTCAAACAAGGTTCAGTTCTGAGCCAATCTTTAATGGAATGATTCTTTTTCTCATTCGGGACAAACAGAACTACTACAAGAAATTTGCATTTTACACTTTGGATTTTGTGTAGTCGGCTAAAATGAAGTTTCTCGCCTCGAATTTGTATCTTTGATCACTCGATTAAGAGACCTTCAGTTTTTGAGGATTCGTACTTAAAATAAAATATGTATATAGGGCTGAATTATAGGGCTCGCATAGAATGAACTTACCCTGTCATGATGCGCCTGAGTTAAATATTAGCTTACTTTCCTCCTCGTAGATGAGGGATTGAACGATGAAAAACCGCTGATAAGCTGTTTTTTAAGATGCAGTGTTATCTGAATTTTTTCTGGTAGTTATTTTTTACTGGATGTCGCTAGTAA